TGTCATGCCCTTCAAGATGACCTGGACAAAATAAGTATATGGAGCAGCACTTGACAAATGGAATTTAATGTGAATAAATGCCATGATATGGAATATGGAATAGGAGAACATAGACCCCACACAACCTATATATTATGTGAGAAATCTTTAAAGAATTCTGATAAAGAAAGAGATCTAGGGGTGGTTCTAGATAGAAAACTATCACCTGAGGACCACATAAAGAACATTGTGCGAGGAGCCTATGCCACGCTTTCTAACTTCAGAATTACTTTTAAATACATGGATGGCGATATACTAAAGAAATTGTTCATGACTTTTGTTAGGCCAAAGCTAGAATATGCAGCAGTTGTGTGGTGCCCATATCTTAAGAAGCACATCAATAAACTGGAAAAGGTGCAAAGACATGCTACTAAGTGGCTCCCAGAACTGAAGGGCAAGAGCTATGAGCAGAGGTTAGAGGCATTAAATATGCCAAAACTAGAAGACAGAAGAAAAAGAGGGGATATGATCACTACATACAAAATAGTAACTGGAATTGATAAAATCGATAGGAAAGATTTCCTGAGACCTGAAACTTCAAGAACAAGAGATCAAAGATTTAAACTAACTAAACGAAGATGCCGAAGAAATATAAGAAAATTCACTTTCGCAAACAGAGTGGTAGACGGTTGGAACAAGTTAATTAAGTGAGAAGGTGGTGAAGGCCAAAAACGTCAATAACTTCAAAGCGTTATATGACAAAGAGTACTGGGTTGATACCTGGTTGATGGGATTCTGGGAGTTCTTCTACTCCCCAAGCCCGGCCCGAGGCCAGGCTTGACTTGAAGAGTTTGGTCCACTAGGCTGTTGCTTGGAGCGGCCCGCAGGTCCACATGCCCACCACAGCCCGGTTGGTCCGGCAATCCTTGGAGGAAACACTATAGTTTCCTCTTGAAGATGTCCACTGTTGTTCCGGCAATATTTCTTATGCTCGCTGGGAGGATGTTTATACAGTGTTCTCTGATTGTGCCTATGGCACCTCTGCTCTTCTCTGGTTCAATTCTGCATTTTCTTCCATATCGTTCACTCCAGTACGTTGTTATTTTAATGTGTAGATTTGGGACCTGGCCCTCCAGTGCTTTCCATGTGTATATTATTTGGGTAGAAGGGACACCACGAGCGTAGCTCTCATCCTGTAACTACACTTGGGTAACACACCACTGGGTATACTGCCCAGTGGGCACCCCACAGCTGGAGAATAATAGGTTATACCTACCACTGGGTAAACTGCCCAGTGGGCACCCCACAGCTGGGGAACGATAAGTTAGACCTACCACTGGGTAAACTGCCCAGTGGGCTCCCCACAGCTGGGGAACGATAAGTTAGACCTACCACTGGGTAAACTGCCCAGTGGGCTCCCCACAGCTGGGGAACGATAAGTTAGACCTACCACTGGGTATACTGCCCAGTGGGCACCCCACAGCTGGGGAACGATAAGTTAGACCTACCACTGGGTAAACCGCCCAGTGGGCTCCCCACAGCTGGGGAACGATAAGTTAGACCTACCACTGGGTAAACCGCCCAGTGGGCACCCCACAGCTGGGGAACGATAAGTTAGACCTACCACTGGGTAAACTGCCCAGTGGGCACCCCACAGCTGGGGAACGATAAGTTAGACCTACCACTGGGTAAACTGCCCAGTGGGCACCCCACAGCTGGGGAACGATAAGTTAGACCTACCACTGGGTAAACTGCCCAGTGGGCACCCCACAGCTGGGGAACGATAAGTTAGACCTACCACTGGGTAAACTGCCCAGTGGGCACCCCACAGCTGGGGAACGATAAGTTAGACCTACCACTGGGTAAACTGCCCAGTGGGCACCCCACAGCTGGGGAACGATAAGTTAGACCTACCACTGGGTAAACCGCCCAGTGAGCACCCCACAGCTGGGGAACGATAAGTTAGACCTACCACTGGGTAAACCGCCCAGTGGGCACCCCACAGCTGGGGAACGATAAGTTAGACCTACCACTGGGTAAACTGCCCAGTGGGCACCCCACAGCTGGGGAACGATAAGTTAGACCTACCACTGGGTAAACTGCCCAGTGGGCACCCCACAGCTGGGGAACGATAAGTTAGACCTACCACTGGGTAAACTGCCCAGTGGGCACCCCACAGCTGGGGAACGATAAGTTAGACCTACCACTGGGTAAACTGCCCAGTGGGCACCCCACAGCTGGGGAACGATAAGTTAGACCTACCACTGGGTAAACCGCCCAGTGGGCACCCCACAGCTGGGGAACGATAAGTTAGACCTACCACTGGGTAAACCGCCCAGTGGGCACCCCACAGCTGGGGAACGATAAGTTAGACCTACCACTGGGTAAACCGCCCAGTGGGCACCCCACAGCTGGGGAACGATAAGTTAGACCTACCACTGGGTATACTGGATGGTGAAGAGCATGATAATAACATCAGTTCAAGGCAAAAACACAAATTTGGGTAAGAATGATATGGGGGCATAACAAAACATATCCAGAGTGCCACATTAATCTAACTGCACGAAGCTGCTATGTAGTGCTGGCCAATGTTAGCTTAGCATCCAACTATCTGGAATCCGACATTATAAACAAATTTATTCTTAATATTCTTCTGACCAAACGTAAGCTTCTCGCACTTGCTATTACTCACAGCTCTCCTTCCCGCCAGCTGACTCCTTTTATCTGCCCCCTCCCTCTCCTTCCACCATTGCTGCCCTCTCCTTCCACCGTTGCTGCCCTCTCCTTCCACCACCTGCCTGCCCTCTCCCTCTGTGCACCTGCTCTCCTCTCCCATCAGTGCACCCCACCCTCTCCTTTCCCACCTGCCCACTCTCTCCCTCGTCTCATACTCTACCTTCCACAGCTTCACTCCAGCACTTGCATCACTGTGAACCTTACGTAACACTCTCGTAACACATTAACTTTTCTGCCCTGGAGCACTACGTCTCTTAATCTAATCGTTTCATAAGGCCTTGCGTTTAAAATGGACAACTAGAAAATATTCGTTTGTCAGTCATTTAAATTAGTGTATTATTAACAAGCTTCAAATCCCATACAACTAATAACACGCAAATAGCTCTTAGTAATAATATAAAAATAATAATTAAGCCACCGCATGGCCAATTTCAGAGTGTAAATTTGAATATTAATATTTTATGCATTACAGCATTTTATAAAATGCTGAGCCACAGTCATGGCCCAGGCTGAATTATTTTCAACCAAATTCCCGAACAGATTAAATATGACAGAAATCGAAAGGAGGACCTTTGACAAGCCGCCAGCTTCCTGTCCATGTCGAGGACAACTACAGATATGGTGGCACCTCAGGTAAATTCTGATAAACTTCAGTTAAATTCTGATAAAATTCAGGTAAACTAGGGTAAAATTCACGTAAATTTAGGTAAATCAGGGGAAAATTCACATAAATTCTGGTAAAATTCTAGAAAATTCAGATAAAATTCAGGTAAATTCACATAAATTCCAGTAAATGAACTATATATATATACCCTATATATTGTACAGCTCATTATTCAAATACTAAACCGCACCCAGAGCTTCTAAACCGCACCCAGAGTTTCTAAACTACACCCAGAGCTTCTAAACCACACCCAGAGCTTCTAAACCGCACCCAGAGCTTCTAAACCGCACCCAGAGTTTCTAAACTACACCCAGAGCTTCTAAACCACACCCAGAGCTTCTAAACCGCACCCAGAGCTTCTAAACCGCACCCAGAGTTTCTAAACTACACCCAGAGCTTCTAAACCGCACCCAGAGCTTCTAAACCACACCCAGAACTTCTAAACCACACCCAGAGCTTCTAAACCACACCCAGAGCTTCTAAACCACACCCAGAGCTTCTAAACCGCACCCAGAGCTTCTAAACCGCACCCAGAGTTTCTAAACTACACCCAGAGCTTCTAAACCACACCCAGAGCTTCTAAACCACACCCAGAGCTTCTAAACCGCACCCAGAGCTTCTAAACCACACCCAGAACTTCTAAACCACACCCAGAGCTTCTAAACCACACCCAGAGCTTCTAAACCACACCCAGAGCTTCTAAACCGCACCCAGAGCTTCTAAACCACACCCAGAGCTTCTAAACCGCACCCAGAGCTTCTAAACCACACCCAGAGCTTCTAAACCGCACCCAGAGCTTCTAAACCGCACCCAGAGCTTCTAAACCGCACCCAGAGCTTCTAAACCGCACCCAGAGCTTCTAAACCGCACCCAGAGCTTCTAAACTGCACCCAGAGCTTCTAATTCACACCCAGAGCTTCTAAACCGCACCCAGAGCTTCTAAACCGCACCCAGAGCTTCTAAACCGCACCCAGAGCTTTTAAACCACCCCCGGAACTTCTAATTCACACCCAGAAGTATTGCAGTATAGTTTTGTGGATTTGGAACACAATATAAAAGTCCATTAGCTTTTGAATTGAGAAGTCTAATGCAAGTTTAGGGAAGTCAAATACAGTACAAGCCTTGGCAAGTCTAATACCAGCCTAGGGAAAGCTATACAAGCCTGTGGAAGTCTAGTACAAGCCTGAGGAAGACTAATACATAGAATAATACAAGCCTATGTAAGCCTGATAAGTCTAAGGCACAATCCATGGAAGCCTAATACAAGTCTGTGGAAGCCTAATGCAAAATCTAAGGAAACCTTATACAAGTCTAAGTTTAATCAAAGTAATAATATAATTAACAGCAATATGCAACACGAGCCAGTTAGAATTATTAACCACCTTCGAAACTCAAATGCCAATGATTTTCAACCTTCTTTAAATATTATATTCGTCATTTAAGCTTTAATGCTATTAGTAATCAAAGATTAAATGGCAATTATTATTATTATTATTATTATTAAATCAATATATGCTAGTAGCCCTCAAACCAAATCAAAGCAATTAAGTTCATGCTAAGCTGAGAAATTATATAAAACGAGTCGTTAAAATGAAGACGTAAACAACCCATGATTCCTCACCTCAAACACACCGAGGCAGCGCCCCAACATGCCACACACGCCCGCCTCTTCCCGTACCTCCCTGATGGCGGCCATGTCGGGAAGTTCATTGGGCTCCACCCCGCCCCCCGGCACGATCCACAGCTCAGAGTCACGACGGGAAGACACCAACAAAACCTGGTTTGAGAACTGCCAATTAGCACGTAACAAACCAACAAATGGTAACCAAATACCCAATGAAATCACAGAACATGAATTACATATGCAGCAGTAAAAGTAACATTTACATGCATACATATACATATATATACATACATACATACATACATTACATACATATAAACAAAAATGACTTCCAGTAGTAAAACCAGTTGAGTTTGATTACAGCAGAGCACAACAGAAAAGTTTCAGCGAATGGGATCATGTTTTTACAGATAAAATTTGAAGACTTTCTGGCCTAGATCGTCAAATATTCTGATAAAGAGACGGCTTCTCTTAGATCCCAGCTTAACATAGTTTACAGAAATGCACTCTTTGTTTTAACAAACAAATTGTATTTGAGTGTTTTTGATAATAATAAATACTGCGAAGGTCTTTTATCTAAGATAGGCAGCTTGTTCAACAAATCTCATGAACATGATGAATTAACAATTAAATATTGAAGCTGAGTGAAAAACTTAAACCTGTGCCCCTGAACTCCTCAGGCGCACATACACTATCATTCTTGTGATTTCACTGTGCACTGATACCTGGTTGATGGGGTTCTGGGAGTTCTACTCCCCAAGCCCGGCCCAAGGCCAGGCTCGACTTGTGAGAGTTTGGTCCACCAGGCTGTTGCTTGGAGCAGCCTGCAGGGCCACATACCCACCACAGCCCGGCTGATCCGGAACTTCTCTTAGAAAACAGTCCAGTTTTCTCTTCAAGATGTCCACGATTGTTCCGGCAATATTTCTTATAGTCGCTGGGAGGACGTTGAACAACCGTGGACCTCTGATGTTTATACAGTGCTCTGGTGATCGTCACTTCCTACACCCGAAATGTAGGTGGGTATATTGTTAAACGTTGATCGTGGTACCGGACGGTGTCGTTCCAAATTCCATGTAGTACGTCCAGTAGTACTTCTGGCCGAGATGCTCTTACGCTCACTGTGGTCCAGTCAGCGGTGTGCGTGTGCCTGCGGAGTTCAGGAATGCAAATTCGATCCAGTTATATAAACTTGAGATTTAGTTGTATGTAATTTGCTTTGCTTCGTCTGGGAAGTTTTACTTGGGTTTGACGTTGATGACACCCGACCCAACACATCTGAAAACGAAGACCCAAGAATATTTTGGACCTGGACCAAATGGAATATTTCGGATCAAGTTGTGTAATCTCCGATCCCCCAAGCTCCCCTTGCCTCTATGAGCTCACCAAATTCTAGTTCTGGTATTCAGTAGGCCTAAGCAGTCTGGGCCACAATTCATCAAGAACTAATGAGTCAACTTACAAGACCCATAAATCTTCTCTCAACCACGGCATACCTGGAGCATACCTGGAGAGGGTTTCGGGAGTAGTTCCACACCCCCCAATCACACAGAATGGCGTAGTAAACTAAACGGCGGTTTAGTTTACATTTGTTAAACAGTTTATGAGCTCTGAAGCACTACTTTTTTTTATATAAATAATAACCTTAGGTTGTGAAGTTTGAAACGTAAACTGTTTAATAAACACAGACTATGCTGCCATGGCTGAGAAAACATGTACAGGGGACAGATTCACGAAACAGATACGCAACCACTTACAAACCTGTCCATCTTTTCTCAATCTTTGGCGGCTTTGTTTACTATTATTAACCACCGTGCTGCGCCGAGTTTATTGTGAAATTTCCCCTGTGCGTATGAAATAGTGTTCCCAAAAATGTATTTTTTCTTCGTAAAATGAGAAATTCCCTTCCCTGAACATGTCTATGTAAAAATAAATACCAAATTCCACTTTCTTACTTTGGCTGTGGGGACGTGGACAAGGTGCGCTGTGATGTCATCAGGGGCTGGTCGCCTGTGCATGACTCGGCCAGACACGGTCGCGCGGGCCATTCAAGCACCGGGTGTTGCCACAAATATATTTTCAGTTATTTGTTCTATGTATTTCCAATGCGGTTTTATTTGTTTTTTTTTATTGTATATAATGCATATTTGTGTCCTTTACAATATGTATACAGTAGAACGTTCATAATGTTCCATAGAACTGTGATACATGTGTCAGTAATGTGTCCACAATAAATGTTTATTGTCGCAATATTACCTGTTAAAAATTCACTAAAATTACAATAAGTACAGTTTCACACACTATTTACACAGTAACACACTGTATTACACACTCAGTACTTCGGAAGTGAGTAATAATCAATGAAGTAGTCCATGGTACACAGCGCGACTTCGCTCTCAGTGCACCAGGTACAGATGAATTTTAGCTTCCTGTTTCTTCGTTCTGTGTGCTTGAAAATAACCCACTCACATACACCCTTGGCTTTAGTACTTGTAGGTTGTATGTAGCCAAGCTTGTAAAGCATAAGGTAGCTTGAAAAGATTATAGGAAAAGATAAATTTGTAAGGTAGTCTTGAAAAGATCGCTTTGTATGGTCCCACACAAGAAGAGATTCAGCTTGCCTCAAAGAGTGTCCGTCAGTCAGGAAGAGATTCAGGTATTCTTGAAAATACTATCTATGGAAAACACCATCATGGAATCCACTAACACTGTTCATCTATGCTACTTGTATCAGATGCATCATCACTGAACGCAAAAAACGATTCATCTATGTATCATCTAAATAAATTGTAGATAGCATAGGATTGCAAGGGTGACGCTCAGAGCTACAACTGGATACACTCACTGTATCGTCCTCATAGGTGCTGTATCACTTGCATCCGACCTTTGTGTTAGGTCTTTATTGACCCTAGCTTCACCAATATTATGACCCTTATGTTCTTCAAACAATAAGGTTTGGATTTCACCGACAGAGCGTTATCTTTGAACACCATGTCAGACAGATGTTTGGGAGCAAGAGGAGCGTGTGCCACCCATGGTTGCTCACTCAGTACTAACCCAGCCAGCAGCCCTATGGCCTTCTGGGAATTTTTTCCAAGATGGCTGCCTCTCACTGGAGGTCCTAAGAGTCCATTTCGTACACAATTAACCTCGCATGTACAGTATTTAGAATGGGTACGGAAAAATCAAAAAGAGTTTTCTTGGTTGGCGCAGTTTCCCGCCAAGAGTACTTGGTTGGCGCAGTTAAGTGGTTAAACAGCTAATGAGCTCCGAAGCACCAGGAGGCTGTTTATAACAATAACAGTTGATTGGGAAGTTTGCATGCTTGTAAACTTTTTAATAAATGTAACCAAAACCATCAAAGATTGAGGAAAGATGTACAGGTGCGTAAGTGCTTGCATAACTCCTTCGTGTAGCTGGCCCCTGGCAGGTGCATAAGTGCTTGCGTAACTGATTTGTGAATCTGGTCCCTGGTTTCTTAAGTGACCATGTAAATGCCTGATGAATGCTGGCCTTGGTAGTTTTCTGGTACCAGAGCCACTGAGGGAGCTACTGAGGCTGCCCACAAATGGCCACTCCATTAACAAACGTTCAATATTTGATTTCAATTCAAACACAAATCAATTTCCTACATGATAGAAACACTTGTAATGCACAGAAGAAGTCACTATAACAAGTGACGATGTTTCCGTTCGTCCTGGATGCCTTATGTATTAAGGGCCAATGGGCTCAACATGCCTCTGTTGACCTAGCGGCAAATAGACACCCAGTGTTACGAATTGGCTACTACTTCATTGCAAGTTGAGTAAGTGTTAATTCAAAGTTCATTTAATCTTAGACAAGTATTTTACGCCACGGAACTGAAAGGATAAAATCGTAGCGGACAAGTCGGAAGGTATTTTGGTGGTCGGCGAGTGGTGTCGGGACCTCAAAGCAATGTTCAAGACACTGTAGTGAGAAATTGACCACCAATCAGCACCACCGACCCACGTGACCGAAGCGAGGTCAGCCTGGGCCACCATTGAAATTGAAATTGAAATAAGTTTATTGAGGTAAAATACACACAAAGGGATGAGGTAGCTCAAGCTATTCTCACCCCATTCAGTACAACGTGTTAATATATACATAGACACACATCTCAAACAATAAACATATTACCAAACATTCTGAGAGGTAAACATATACATTTCCTCCTTCACAAGTAGTATGGTATCAGACGTACACACAAATACTTTTATGACCTAGGTATACTGTATAGACAATTTGCAAGACACCTGCAGATAATTCAACAAAATATTACAATCTTGGTGCAAAATTCTTATATCTCTCAAGAATATCATCAACCTTTCCGTTGTGACACATCCAGGCTATTTGTTCAGGAACAGTCCTTATCTCAGTGTTTCTATATACATTAATCAACGGACAATCAAGAATATAATGGGCAAGGGTGTGAGACCTTAACATACCACATAGTTTACACTTCGTGTCATTACCATGAACATCTATCCCATATTCCCAGTAATATTTGTACCCAAGCCTGAGCCGCATGTACACAGAGTCACTCCAAGCATTTCTCCTTTTACCATAAGTGAAAAGGGTGTTTTGACTCACATACATGTAGTGTTGCATGGTTTGACTTCTCTCATACATTATCTCTCTCCTCTCCACTCCCACCTGTGCCTGAATATTTCTGATTTTGCTTCTTATTTGTCTCATTGTGAATTCACATTCAATGTCAACTTGTGGTTTTGATGTGGCACGTTTGGCCAAGTCATCCCCCACCTCGTTGAGCACTATTCCAACATGAGATGGAATCCACATGAATTTCACACTATGACCTTTCAGCTGTATCTCAGTTATTCTTCTCTTACAGTCCTCCACTATAGACATGAAGACTGGGTTTCGACTGTTTAAGGACTCCAGTGCTCCTCGGCTATCGACAAATACAAAAACATTTTTGTCGTCATGACGTACTTCCTCCAAACACGCCAGAATGGCCTGCAGTTCAGCTTGTGTGGATGATATATAATTACTAAGTCGGAGTTCAATTATCCTGTCCACAGTCCCAAACTCTGTATAATCCCTTATTAGGACACCACACCCTGCCCTGCCCCGGCCACCAAGGCAGGAGCAGTCTCGTCCCACCTGTCAGT